GAAGTAGATGGGATTTGAACCGTGGCTGTCGGGGTCAAAAGGATAGATGCTGTCTTCATCCCACAGAGAACTTGATGTTATTTGTCCTCCAATACATACCCATTCGGGACCTTAATGAGAACACGCGCATCGCAGAACGGTTTTGATCTGTGGACCCTCTGAGTTAGGGACACAGTGCACTCCTACTGCATCACTCTGCTCCCTTATCATGTTGTAAGTTTACTTTGCAATTGTGATGATGTGTTTAGGAAACTCAGAGGAAATAGGAGTGAGAGTAGGCCATTTGGCCCTTCAAACCTGTGCTGCCATTCATTGTGAATCATGGCTGATCATCCAACTCCGTCCCCTGTTCCTACTTTCTCCTCATTCCTTTTGTTCCCTTTCACTCAAACACCTCTATCTGTTTCCTTCTTGAAAACATTCCATGTTTTAGACTCAGCCCCTGGAGGCGGCAGCAAATTTCACAGGCTCTCCATCCTGTGCATGAACACACCATTCTTCATCTCTGTCCTAAAAGGCCTTATGTCTAACTTGTGACCCTTGGTTCTGGCCTCCTGCGTCGACCCTGACGAATCCTGATTGATTTTTAAAGATGCCCCTCCTTATTCATCTGAACCCCTGTGAATATAGGCCGAAGCGATCCAGTCTGCCTTCATATATCAGACCAGTCCAGAGATCAGTCTGGTAAACATTCGCTGCACTCCCTCTACAGGAAGGACACCCTTCCTCGGATAAGGAGACCAAAACTTCACACACAATATTCCAGGTTTGGCCTCACCAGGGCCCTGTATAATTGTACCAAGACATCACTGCTCATGTACTTGAGTGCTCTCCCTTTGAAGACCAACTTCATATTGCTGGGAAGTGAGTGTGATCCTTTCAGCCAAGAACACCCAGGTCTCCAATCTGTTGCCATTCTGGTAATAATCTGCCTGCTATTGGATCACTGCACCTTTATCCATATTGCACTGCCATCAAGTGGGTTCCTGCCTCTTTCCCACTGAGGGAATTTGTATGACATCCTGAGGCTGCAGTACAACTGAGACAGTGAACCTGAAATACAAGTGCTAAATATTCTAGCTCAGTCTCCCAACACTTCAAGCCTTGTGTTTAACGTTCATGGTGGATTGAGACAAAGGGTGGAGTTTGAAAGATGTTGTGCAGAATGGAAATGTCAACTATCAGTGAACAGACAGCTAGGGTATGCTATGGTGAGTGGCACAGTGAGCAGGAACTCTGGGTTTCTGCTGGGAGAGAGGAGGTTGTGAGTTCAAGTCCCCCTTTTAGCCAGGGTGCAGCAGGCCCCTGTTTTCAGATCAGCAAGGCAATGGAGATGTTAAGGATCAACTCAAAATATCCTGAAAGTATGCATGCTCACCTCCCAGTGATATAGTAGGTTCAAGACTAGGTAGAGCCAGGTAAGAAGTGATGGGTTGGAGGGGTGAGCCCTGTTTGAAGAGGGATGGGAGTAAGATGCAAACAGGGCTCCCCAGAGGGAAGAAGTGCAGAAGGGACTAAGGGAATTTTTTTGGGGCAACCTTCTCCCCTACTGAATGCTTCCCCAGGCCTCTACCTGCACCAGTTTTACCCCCACTCATAGGCAGGGGTCCTCTATCCCTCCTGGAGACTGCTCCCTACACTAGCCCTCCCTCACCTTGCTACTAGGCCCTTGATTTCTCTCTATATTGGGACACCCTGTCTGCTCTAACCACTTTCTTCCTACCTGGCTCTATCTAGTCTTGAACCTCTTTGCAACCCTACTATATTGCTGGGAGGTAAGCATGCATCCTTTCAGCCACTCTGCCTTCCATACTTGCAGGATATTTCGAGTTGATCCTTAACATCTCCAATGCCTTGCTTGGCTGAAAATAGGGGCTTGTGCACCCTGGCTAAAAGGGGGATTTGAACTAACAACCTCCTCTCTCCTAGTCACTGACTCACAGCTCCTGCTCACTGAGCCACTCACAATAGCATACCCAAGCCTTCTGTTCGCTGATAGTTAACATTTTCCATTTGCCACAACATCTTTCAGACTCTACTGTTTATCAAAATCCACCATGAAAATTAAATACAAAGCTTTAACTGTCAGACCGAACTTGAAAGTTTTGCCTGCATAGCACTATGCTCAGTTCAAAGCTTCAAAATTCACCATTGTTCTCATAAACCTGAAAATACCTCACCATCTTAATAAAACCACTGGCTAGATTTGAAACAAGCACCTCTCTCCAACAGTAAAAACCAAACACTTTACCCACGCACCATTCACACATATAGTATAGAACCTCTCCCTTGTCACTTGACATCTCCATGTATAATCTTATCAATTACAACCACCTTTTACACTGAGACCACACACCAAACAAAGTGACCTACAAACAGGTTCTCACAACGCAGCTCTACACCATATAACCGCTCCGCCAATCCTCTCACCCCTCAGTGCAATGTATGTGAAGGGTGACTGAGTTAGCATTTCACATCTTATGTCGGAACCCAATCTAACCAAAGTGAACCATTTGGCTCTTTCGGCCTATTCTGTTCCCTCAGACCTTCCTTACCCCTGATCGAACCCTCCTTCTCCTCCTCGCCCCGTGCACACCCTCACAGTTTGCTGACCAGACACAATCAAACTCTCTGCAGCATCTCAATTTGCTGCCAGCTCAGCCACTGAGACCCCTGCTTCACTTCCCCATGGATCTCCAGTCAGGATTTCACTTTCTCTCTGAAAGACCACCCTGTGTTCCAGGACAAACTTAATGTTCCTGCTGCTGTGTGAAAATGGCTAGGCTTTCTCCTGGACTCTCCAAACACTCAAAGGCGAGTTTACTGTCCCTGATTTTGTACGTCGAGAATGGATCTTGTCACACTGAATCAGACTAAATAGAGATTTGAAATACTCCTGAGACTTGTTAAAATTGATCTCATCTCAAGTTTTATGTTCCCTTATCGGGTTGAGTGCTTCCTTCCACTTTGATGTCTCCCCAAATTTGA